AATTAAATTTGCGCACCGAGGGGAATGAAGCAACTCACCATTGGACGGAATGCATGAATGCGGGTTAATGTACATTCCATTTGGAAGAGACAAGGATGCACGACAAACTTATGTCTTCGATTGAGTCCCCGGTAACACAAATTTAATTTGCAAGTGAGAGTATTCGTATATGAAGGTGAGATTGCTGAAAATAACCTAAAAGTACCTGGAACACACGGGGACCCTAGAACTCCATTGAAAATAATCAACAGGAAGCCCGGCAAGCATCCACGCTAGTCGATTATCCAATCAATTCAGCGAATGCGGGCGAGTATCCATGCACGCTATAGAAGCACGACCGAACGTGGTCAGCATACAGGCATTTCATAGAGTGACGATCGTTGTGGATGTTGTTCATTAACATCCATTGGAGAGCCTGGATGAATACCTGATATTGCCCCTTAATTTAACGCACGGCCGTGGTAACTTTTGCACTCGACCGCATTCGGTTGCTTGGAATAAAGCTGTTGTGTACCGTGTCCGTTAGGCATTTCTAGCTAACGCACGGCCGTGGTAACTTTTGCACTCGACCGCATTCGGTTGCTTGGAATAAAGCTGTTGTGTACCGTTGTCAGTAAGTCATTTCTAGCACTAGGCACTGGCATGTGAACAGCAGTTGGTGATAGCCTGCCCTAAACGATCACTAAGTTGTGTAAGCGAACCAGTCAGATTGCCATTTAAATTGGGGTGTTGAGTGGATTTGAAGACTCCGGTATTTTGCTTGTATGTCGGTTAGTCACATTCTATACAATAGAGGGAAATGCTAACGCTAAGGACTGCTGACTAATGATCACATTAACTAACGAGACAAAAATTTAGCGGGTAGAGAAATCCATTGTTCTTGCAGTGAGTGTAACTACTTACTACCTGGCGAATGACGACGCATTTCGTAATGGTGTTATGCAGTGCTCTGCCTTTATCAGAGGGGATGCAACCCGATTCCAAACAGTATCAATTTCAGTGCCGTGTGAGCGTTTGTTACATACACGGAAAATTCCATCGCAGTCCGTGGGTTGATATCACTAGTCAATCGTTCAATGACTGTCCAGTACGTAATTGCACCTGTGTTCTTGAAACACATCTGCGGAACTTGGAAATCAGCTGTTACAACGCTTCCTCCCTGTGGCGTTGATTCGTCTTTGATTTATTTCTCCGCATTTTCCTATCAAACGTCAAATCATATGCTTATTCACTAAAACCTAGAAAATGGATACGGGTAGAAGGCTGCCGAAGAATATCCAGAAAACCTTTAGGAGAGCGGTCGTTCCAAGAGCAATCGTAGATTTTCTGCGGTGCATTCGTGTCTCTTAGCGTTTCATTGAAATGTTCTTAACCGGTATTCTTCCTCCATCAATACTTAGGCTGTCCGTTGTGTAGGTCACTTTGCGGTACCCTCATTCGAGACTTCCGTGGAGTGACTGGATGATGGTCCTGAACAGTGTACGTCTAGCTCGGAGTTGGGCCCAACGTGCATGAACGTAGACAAGTTGATGAACCCAATAGAAAAAAGCATCTTGCCAGTCTCTTCAGATAACAGCTGCGAAAAAAGACGACTGCGTTGCCAACGGATCTTTGTTGTCGCTTGGCGTTTCATCGTTTTGTTACTAGGCAAGTATTATGATCTCCCTGTCATTTGGTCTCTCCGTTGTGTTTTCCGTAGCATGACTATCCGGGCGAAATCTTACACTAGGAGATGCAAAGGCTTGTTTTGGATCACTTTCAGCCAGTCAGCCCAGCGTCTACGATTTTATGATGTTGAGCATCGGATTCAACCACCCTACGTCAACATTTGCATCTATTTCTTGCTGAAGTGATTCACCCCGAAGAAAGTTAGATACATAACCACCCTGATGGATCAGCCAATCCCAATGAGATGGTATTGTGATAACCGACTAATTTTCACTAATATTAATCGCTCTCTACCGTCACATGCCGAGAAATGCCCGAATTTAAATGGTATTCCGAACGTGAGAATTTCGAAACCCAGTTGATACTCGTCGGTATAGTGTATGGAATCAAAGAATGTTATGCATGCCGAAAGGAAAGTTTTTATGTCCACTTGCCTAGTACGGGTGCGAAGAATTCCATCTCCTTTAGGCTGGGTGTGGCGACAATCATCCTTCGATCACAGAAAATCTCGTTTGCCAGGGGAACAGTTTACTACATGTCTAAAACCCCGCAAATTATCAATGTTTTTCACATGTTCTGATTCTGGTGAACCTTATTGCTTGTTCGTTTGTTTTCGACTTGCGCAGTTGTCCACAACGATTGTTTATGCCCTGAACGCTAACTAGTGGTTGACATCCAACAGAAGTTCAACCGCCATTTAACCCTGAGATAACGTGCACAACTTAACACGAACAATCTTTCTTCGTCGTCGTGGCGTATCCCAATCTCTCCAGTGATAGCGCTTCCACTCCAGTAGGGGCATCTAATAATTGTTCTATGATTTTCTTCGTGAATTTCCTAATTTTGGAATGAACTGAGTGGTGAAACTCGCATCTGTCACTTTCGTATAATGGCTAGTGGGGACAGAATATGGAACTTCAAATCCATGGCGTCCTGCTTGAATGTCGTGGAGTGTCAGTGAATTTTCGGAGTGAAACACATTCCTTACAGTAGAAGAACATGCTCACGCTCAGGACTGCTAACCACATAGAATCACAACACGAAAAGATGCCTGGATGAGGATCCATTTTCGTTGGGTTGATTATCGCCAGAGTCCTGCAGTCAGTAGATTTACTTACCAACTAGCGAATGACGCCGTACTTTGTTTTGGCCTTGTGTAGTGTTCAGGCTCCAATAGGGGGGAGATTACCCGGGTCCAAACAGCATGTGTTTTAGTGCAGTGTAGGACTTTTTGAACACTGTTTTCCTCATTTCACACAAAAACTTCCATTAAAGTTTGTGGGGTGAAATGTCTAATCAACCGCTGAAGGACTGCCTAGTGCGCAAGAGTTTTACGTTGGTATGTGGAAAGTGTATATCAAATGTCAAACCGTATTTCCTTGGCGGCTTTGATTCTTCTTTGGTGTATCTGTCTGTAAATTCCTATCAACCTTTTTTTAATTGAACACCAAATCGTACGCCTAGCTAATAAATCCCCTGAAAGTGGAGACCGGTAGCTAGCTTTTCAAGAGCATTCAGCGAACGCGAGTAGCAATACAATATGAAACGGTTGACAGTGTGTTATACAACCATTTCATAAAGAGACGCATCCAAATAACGAATTTTACTGGTAGACAAACTGACACTTCCCCGAGGACTTCACTTAAACACTCAAGACACAGGTATGAATAGCTCTATGAGACCTCATTCAACGTCGATGGGGCCAAGTTTCAATATGCTTCTCTTGTCCGGTTGGAGTGAACAAGTGTAATAATTAGAATTCGAGCAGTGTTTTTGAATTCCTGGATGAACCGAAAACTGTTCTCGCTGAGTTTACCGCCAGTTGGATGGAAAAATACAACCGATGTCCAGTAACGGTAGCAGAAAACGATACGGACCAGTTGCCATTCATTTTATTTTGGCAAAACCACACAACATATTGCGTGTCCGTTAGGAGCGCATGCTGTTGATAGACTCGATGAGGGTTCGGCCTTGTATCCGGCTTCGCATAGCTCCATTAGATGATCTGTGTGTTGAGATACCTCTGGGACCTGAAAACAGATTCGTTATAGGATCTGAGCTAGGAAATCAGTCTAGCGAACTAACGAATCAACACGCATACTACGGACCGAGGTTGGCACCTATCCTTCAGAGGTTTGGACCAATGCCTAGAAATGCTATCAAAGGAATAGAAAAGTGTGTTCACGTAAGAACACCCCTAAAGGTGACCAACAAAATTTAGTATCCTCGAGAAAAAAGTGCCAAATATGCTAAAGAATGGGGATGATTGTCTGTGAGACAGTGAATGTCGAGCGGATACTGAGCATGAGATTAAAGAAATAACTTATGTGAGGTGTTGGAGAGTATCAGCATATCTGAATTTCGGATAGTTCGAAGCATCTTGATAACTCCTTGAATGCTAGTAGAGAACACGCAGATGACTGAAACTGTGTTAACGCCGCCAAACGAATTACGTAGTACTACTATGGCCGGTTTCACCCGTCTTGGCGCCTGGGAGGTATTCGCATTCCCCGAGTTATCGTCAACCTCATGTGGTACTTGAACCCAAATTAAAGATTCTGACCAATGCTCCCAAGACAACAGAAAGAAACTAATTTGGGAGAATCTTGGTAATGATGTCATGATTCAGATGTATGCTCAACCGAAACAGAAAATCGACGAGAACTCAGGAAATGCGTCTACATGATGAGACCTACCTGATGACGAGAGTGGCACAAATGGTCGTGAGCTGCACAAAACCTTTCAGCAGCCATCTAAACAGCTTCTTTATGACTGTTAATCCTGCTATGCAGATAATCGGGTATTTGAACTGGTGACGATCGTCTTTGTTAGGATAAGATTCAAGCTGCATCAGCTGTCAATCCTTAATGTTAATGGACAGAAACCCATCGAAACGGTTTTAGGAAATCTGGAATCAGTCGGGCAACCAGGCTAGCTGATTGTTCACTGAGTTTATAAAAGTCGATTTGATTGTCAATGTAATGCGTATCTTGCATTTTTCTGTTTATTTATCCATGTGCTTTTCTGTCTTTATGTATGTATGTTTGTATGTATGTATGTATGTATGTATGTTTGTATGTATGTATGTATGTATGTATGTTTGTATGTATGTATGTATGTATGTATGTTTGTATGTATGTATGTATGTATGTATGTTTGTATGTATGTATGTATGTATGTATGTTTGTATGTATGTATGTATGTATGTATGTTTGTATGTATGTATGTATGTATGTATGTTTGTATGTATGTATGTATGTATGTATGTTTGTATGTATGTATGTATGTATGTATGTTTGTATGTATGTATGTATGTATGTATGTTTGTATGTATGTATGTATGTATGTATGTTTGTATGTATGTATGTATGTATGTATGTTTGTATGTATGTATGTATGTATGTATGTTTGTATGTATGTATGTATGTATGTATGTTTGTATGTATGTATGTATGTATGTATGTTTGTATGTATGTATGTATGTATGTATGTTTGTATGTATGTATGTATGTATGTATGTTTGTATGTATGTATGTATGTATGTATGTTTGTATGTATGTATGTATGTATGTATGTTTGTATGTATGTATGTATGTATGTATGTTTGTATGTATGTATGTATGTATGTATGTTTGTATGTATGTATGTATGTATGTATGTTTGTATGTATGTATGTATGTATGTATGTTTGTATGTATGTATGTATGTATGTATGTTTGTATGTATGTATGTATGTATGTATGTTTGTATGTATGTATGTATGTATGTATGTTTGTATGTATGTATGTATGTATGTATGTTTGTATGTATGTATGTATGTATGTATGTTTGTATGTATGTATGTATGTATGTATGTTTGTATGTATGTATGTATGTATGTATGTTTGTATGTATGTATGTATGTATGTATGTTTGTATGTATGTATGTATGTATGTATGTTTGTATGTATGTATGTATGTATGTATGTTTGTATGTATGTATGTATGTATGTATGTTTGTATGTATGTATGTATGTATGTATGTTTGTATGTATGTATGTATGTATGTATGTTTGTATGTATGTATGTATGTATGTATGTTTGTATGTATGTATGTATGTATGTATGTTTGTATGTATGTATGTATGTATGTATGTTTGTATGTATGTATGTATGTATGTATGTATAAATGCATGTATGTATATATTTTCTATGCGTCATTCTATCAGAGAAGCTGATTATTGGTTGACAGTCCGGGTAATACATAGTTAATATTTCTCCACCATTCACCCTTGTTATCCCTATCGAGTTAGAGGTAGTCCTCTGGTACCCGAAAGTAGCAGAATCTCTCAGGTACCCGTTTTCCTAAATAAACGGACAGAACTGAACTAAGGTAAATTCCTTACGACGGTAGCAATATTACCGATATGAAGAAGCGAGTCTGACAACCTCGTTGGTTGTGCGAAAAATTATAGGCCTAAGCCTAACACGAAGGACTGTGGCGATATCGACTGGGATGGTGGAAAGCGTTTCTGTCATTGAAGTGATTGACACAAAGCAGCCCAAATTATTGGACTGCCACTGGATTGCGGAGTGGTTACTTGGTTATCCAAACATATAATGGAGTACGTATTGGCTGGTTCAACAGCGAACTCGAAATATCAAAAATTGCGCTGAACATATACTGCTATTGCCCCGTCATTCCGGTGCAACAGTAGATCATAATGTTCTTGGAACGTTCCAACTGGGATACTTCCCATCGTCTGGAATGAACAATAAACTGACGCCTTTCACTGTATTGTCAACTCAGAGGGCGTTATGTTTCATACAAATATGTACAGGTCTAAAATGCATCCCTAGTTCTACACTTAGATACCACGTGCTCGACTGATCAATAAACATCCTCTTCAAAAATAGTTTCTCATACGCTAGTGCACAGCAGTGGTGTTCACCGAATCACTATTATGTTCTTATGAGTTTCCTCGTTCAAGAACATGAGGGAATTAAAACTTACCCTGCCTAAATATCTGTTGATCGGACGAAAGCACAAAGTTCTATTTGTTGGCGAACAGTCCGAATGTGCACTTGGTGTTGCTCGGTAGTTCACGAACGGGTGAGCTTTTTGTTTGTTGTCTGTCAGCAACTAAAAGTTTCATAAATTAATTTAATGCACAAACCAAGCTTTCCGACATCGGACTACAAACTGAACGAAATCAGAACAAGCAATGTAACCACAAAAGCTATTCGGTAGAAAGTACAAATAAGTCGTTCACCACTAATGCATACATCCAGATGGTTCCCAGGTTGCCATGGAGCCCGAATATCTTATCGAATTGTATAACGCAGCTAGACGGTTTGCCAAACTCGTCGTTAATTTGTATAGTTTAAACTTGAATCGCACCACATTGAGTCTTTGACGTTCTTAAATCGATCGTTTGTACACGTGCTATTGTTCACTTGCGGTTTTTGCCGCATAACAGAACTTGCTCATCAGATTGCATATTCCATCCCTTCAGTGAAGCCAATTTGTGCTGAGAAACCGAGAAGAATTATAAAGTTTTCTGATCTGATAATAGGGGTCAGCCGCAGTGCGCATCTGAGTACAGCAGGTGATGACCAACCATCGAAATTCCGGCGAATGATCGAATACTTAACTATTCAAACACAAAGGGTTGATAAGCACTGTGACTGGCTTTTACTTAGAAAGCACACAGCGTCACTCGTCGTTCAATCACGGGAAAACACATTACGTGGCCACCGATCGATTGGCTCCTCGAGTGGTAATTCATCAGACGAGAGTTTCTAAATAGTAGCGAAACCAGTCAAGCTACTAGATTTAAAGCAACCGAGTTAAGGAACGACGCATACTACTCAGAAACAAGTGATCGTTGCACTGTTCAAGGACAACCTACATGCACGTTACAAATTTTTCATGAAACCCTAATTCCCTACCGTCCACCTCTAGAGCTATGTCTATCCGTACTGGGTATGGATTACAACAAACCTCTCGGCAGCCGGTAATTGGACATGCGGAACACATGGCCCAGCCAAATTGACTTGCAATGTTGGGTGATTATTTTAAAGGAAGTATCTTCTGCTAGGGCAACATTTGAATGCTAGTACTTCGTTATTAGGCAGGATAGGCGAGAAAATAAAGAAACACGAATGGCGATAATGTGACACCCGAATGAATGTTTATTCACCCGAATATGCTGCACGCTGTGTTTTGTGCTTCATTGCGGCAGATGTTTTGAGACAAAGGCGTTCAGGAAGTCAATCGCCATCATCAACATCATCTGCAGCATCACCAGCATCCTCAAAGAATCATCAATGTTTACCGCTGGTACTTTTGCTCGAGTGTCATTCGTTCAGGTCCTTCTGCGTGCAGAATATTCTGCACGCGTAATACATGAATCAGCCAACTTGTCTAGTAAAACCATCACTACAGGTGAGACAACGCATATTTCGGATGAACCACAAAGAACTCCGGTGTATCAGAACGCTATACCCATACAGTGTTTGGGAAAACGACTTGCTACTGACCTAGCATAATCAGTCCGATACACATGGAGCCCAAGACACTCATTCGGGAGATCTTAATCGAAACTGAACTCCAATAACATTGATAAAGAACCATAACCATAACTTTAACCAGTGACATCCAACTAATGTGCCATTATTTTGGGGCTGCCGGACGTTCGTGGTTGCTGGATTTCCAAAAATTTTCTTTATGACTGAAAACATTTTGCAGTGGCGGTGTCGGTGGCAGCGGCGGTGATGATTGTGGTGTGGTGGTGGCGGTGAATAGTCACCTGCGGACTGAAGTGTCTTTCAATGAATAATCACCAGTCTCACAAAAAGTGCCATATTTTTGAAAAATATTTTGCCAAGTACGGGGCCGGTCAGCGATACAACTATGCCGAGCTCGCTGCAAGCTGAGCTAGTCCAGAAATGAAGAATCTCAACAAGATACCCCGCATTTTCTATCTGTATTCTGAGGTTCAGTTTTGGAATGAGTAGACAAATTCACGTAGGCGGAACCTTCGAATATTATGCTGCTGCGTATGCAACATATTGGAAGGTATCCGCTTTTTGATTGACAGTTGTAAAGGCGCAGAATCCGGGTGGTAAGGTGAACGGCTTCGGCCAACTGGTGATTAAGGAAGTCAAGTGGGTATAAAAAGTAACACAGTTCATTCCTGTCCATGGCACACGATTATGGTGTGTAGGAGAAATATGTTAAACTTTGAGTCATTTGTCCGCACAATTCGTGTGCGACCTATCCACCGAGCACCGAACACGAATGAAGTAAATGGATAACGAACACACAGGTGATAATACTGTTTGGTGCACGCCATTGGATATAACCGGTTGTAGAATTTAATTCCATTAGTATGCTGTGTGCACGGTTACATGAATATGGCAATTTAAATGGATTTTTTGAACGGCTGTTGGTTTACTGTTGTATCACGCGATATAGTACCTACCTCGGCTTTTATGGTACGAGGGTGGTTGAATGCAGTTTTCCACTTGAGCTATTTTCATCATCATCTTGCCATTGGAACATGGACACTCAGCCAGTTGCAAATCACGCTCTGACCAGCGTAATTAAATTGGCTTATGAAAATATCCTCATGGTGTATTCGCTAAAAAGAAACAATATTATAATCAGATTGAGACAAACATATATTTCGAACACGGACGTACGTTTGTTGGTCTGTAAACAAGAGGATGCTCATGTACTCGCTGATCTTAGTGAGCAGATAGCAAATGG